TGTCATTCAGTTTCTTTCCATGTTGCCCAATTTTCAAGTGTCAGGCCTTTGAACAATGGGGGGGAAGGATCTTCCCTCTTATTTTCTTCTGAAAGTCACCAATTTTTGTATAGTCACACTTCTTCTAGATCCTGCTTGGTCTTTCTGGATGAATACTTCTTAAAAAAAGGCATTTAGGACTGTTTCGGTCAGCTGAAAACATCCCTCCAGCAATCTTTTGTGGATGTATTTGGTTTTCTGTAACACACTTTAAAACTCATACTTTCTCTTTCATTTGAAAAAAACCACATGTAGGTCAAACTTTGAGAAGCTGTTGGAATAGGCTTAATGTTTAACCTCTTTAATATTTAACTTTTTCTTGCTGCACTCCAATAGGTGAACTGTTTGCAGTTGGCAATTGGTTTCACTCATACAAAGCCACTCTGCATCTCTGTTTTTTTTTTTCCATACCATTGCTTTCAGGGCTTTTTGGCTGAAAGTAGTAATGGCTTCAGTTCAGTGGTAATTTTGTGGGGTGTTGGTGCTTTTTTTTTTTTCCTGAAACTTCAGAAAACTTGTTTTTTTCTTTATACCCTCTATTAAAGGATATTATGTACCAGCTAACAGACACTGAAACCATCTTATTTAATGGAGGCAAATCCTAAGCAGAAGGACTTAAGATAGAGGTAGAAAATGGTCTTATATTGTTAATTATCTTGAAGAAATGCATCATCCTCTGGCTTTGGGTTTTCTTTCTTCTTTTCTGTCAGGACACTTGACAATTCTTTCTCATGCTCCTGGTATTCAGAAACAGAAAGCAGTTGTGTTGGATGTTGATCCTTTTCATTTATTTTTGTCAAGTGATTTATTCTGGGAGTTCCCCCCTGGAGTATGACTGGAAGTTAGTGGGAAGAGTCCTTGTGCCCTGGTTTTCATTAGCTGGCTTCCAGCTGAGCACCACCTCCTCATTTTCCTAGCCCCTATAAAGCCCCCTCTGCCTAGGTGCTGCTCACGCCATTTGGAGAAGAGCCGAATCGGAAATTCCCATTGAAATAGGCAAGCTTCCGCAGCTCTCCCTGTCTTGGTGGAAATGCCTGATGTGCTGGAGGACTTCATTGCTGAGGACAGTTGGAGCGAAGGGCCATCTGGAGCTGAGCTTGTGTAGTTGTATGTTTTTGCCCTACTGATGGCACCGACCACCTATGTCTTCCCCCCCCCCTCCCAGTCTGCCAAATGGGAGTTATGCTCGTGATTACATAGTGCTGTTACACATTGCCCTTGTTCCTGCTAAATACAAACCTTCCAAGCTCCCTGCTTCTGACTGGCCAGGGGGTGAAACGATGAGGCTTCATCCTGCAGGTTCCTGCCAAAATTCAATATAAGGTTAATGCCTTTTTTCCCCAGTAAAAATGTCACGTAATTGGCATTTCTCTAGTAGCATCATCTGTTTAATCTCTCTGTGGCTTGGCAGATCCTGTACATACTTTTTCCTGTACCTGTGGAAGATGCATTGAAAATGCATAAAAAAATAATAACTTCTCAAAAATGTATTATCGGTTCTGAAGATACTGCAAGCTACAGACTCCTGGTGAAGTGTTATGTTGTCTCTTGATGCTGATAGACCTCAAGAGGTCTAGCAACAATTAGTGTTTGGTAAATTGCTTCTAGTTATATTGACAGATTTTCATGTTGGGTAGGTAGTGCTTTATAGTACCTTCATAAAGAGTAAAATATCCAATGTGATTCCTGCTTAAAAGGTTGCTGTTTGGTGAGGGTGGGGATAGGAAGTGGTGGGGTGGTACTGTTGTCATCCCAGTGAAGTACAGCTGTAGCTCCCCTGGCTTTTGGTGGCACGTGCATAACCCTGGCTGAGGAAAATAGGCCTTAGGGCTAAGGATTGTATCTTCCTGCGCTGTGCTCCGGGCCTGTATTGGGTTAGGAGATCAAAGTACAGCTGGCATGCCTGCACCTGGTAATGCCTGGATCATGACTACCCCTTGGGCTCCTGGTACCTTTGATTTATGCCACTGATAGAAATGTTAACTGTTTGAGTTTCCCAATCCTACACCTCCATTCATGGTTTTGTAATACTGCTATTGTTGACAGGAGCAGTAACTTAATACTGTGGGAATGCTTATAGCATAGGGAGATGTAATCAATAATGGGTTTTTTCCAAGTGTGATTAGTCATTTTTCTTGGATATTTTAATGACGAACCATTATTTACTTATTTTTTTAAAACTGCACTTACCTAATGAGTGTTATCTTCCAGTGGGGCCCTGTTGAAGATAGCTGAACATGGCTTGTTGGTACCAATATTGAATGTTATGCCAAGCCTGTGTACTTTTGCAGTTGTACTACCCTCTGCTGCGGTTTGAAACCTGTGTTTTACGGGTGGGAGCAAAGTGGGATGGTGAGCGGGGCTCAGTGCTGGCATGTCCTTTGAACGGGAGCTGCTGGGAGGGCAGCTGAGCTCTGTGGGGTGCTGCGGTTTTCTAGAAGCCTCCAGTGAAAGCAAAGGACTAAACTAAAAAGGCAACTTAATACCTTATACTTGCTGGCAGGTCAGGCCGTCATGCTGGGAGGAAAGCTGTTTCTTTAGTAAGAATGCTTTTTCCAACTTTATTGGAGAGTGAATAGGATTGCTGTTTAGTTCAATTAAACTACTACAATTTGCTGAGGAGGAGATCTTTTATGGTAATCCCCATCACCCTAACTGAAGTAGCTTAAAAAAGAAACGGATCTCTCCTGATGTCAGACAATGGTGCAGTATAGTGAAGACCTCATGCTACTGGTAATATTTGCAGCAAGTAATTTCCTCCCTCTTCCCCTGAAGTGTTATCGCTGTAAAACTGAGCTTTGTGCCTAGAAACAGTGAAGCCTCTGAGTACTTCCCAGAACACTGTGTCAGCCTGTGAATGTGGTGGTGGTGTGGAGATCTCAATAAATTCTCCGTGTTTTAGTTCGTCACTACTTGCCCATGGGTACTGTAAGGTTTTACTGTGCATCTTCATGCTGTCGGCTGTGTCTTGGGAAAGAAAAAAGAACAAAACCCACAAAAAAAGCATGTCTGCTGGAATGAACTTTTTTGTGCATGCATATGTGCACGTGCTACTACTGGTGGTAATTAATTTAAAATTGGTAGAGTTCTCTAAGTGATGGTTGGTAATCTCCTAGGCAGTGGCTAATACCTTCTGAAGACGAGTGTGGAGGAGGCTTCAAATCCAGTAAGAAAACTTTTCACACAAAAACTTGATTTAAACAGTCAATGTACCTTGTAGTAATTTCCCAACTTCACTTGGGCTTGGTGCATGCTTATAAATGGTTCAAAGTCAAGCAACTTGCAGAAGCTGGAGTAGGAGAAAATTGGGGCATCATCCAGAAAGCTCAGTATTATGTAGTAGCAATACAAATACGAGATGCCCTGTTGGTGAGCTGGTAATCTGCATAACATTAAAAAAAAATCTAAAAAAAAAAGTCCTGAGCAATCTGTTGTCGGAAGGTTGTAAGACTATACTGTAAGGAGATAACAAGGACTGAGTAGCAATGTTATCTCTTTCTGTTGTGCTTTTTGATAAAGGACACTGCAACAGACTCGGGTTTCCACGTGGATTGGTTTGGCATGAGAAAAGAGCAGATTGTTTGGTTTGGCTTGCATTTGTTTCTCTGTCCTAGGAGAGTTAAAGTAACTGAGGAGCTTTCTGACATGCCCTTCCTGTGCTTCTAATGCGCTTTGCTTTCATCTGGTGCATACAGTGTTTTATAGGCTTTACTCACCAAAACAAGGAGGGGGGGGAGTATTTTCCCTTCCCCCAGCAGCCTGCTACTGTCAGGAAATGTGCGTGTGTGTGTTTAGGATGGCAGTGGGGTTTTCAGCATAGGTTAGAGTTTGTGCTTGAGGGCATGCTCAAGTCCTGATTTAAGTAGATTCAGAGTCCAGTACGTCTAAAAGTGCTTCAGTGGAAGTTGCAATGTTCACGTGTGTAGTACTAACTCCCATTGTTTCACTTGTTCTCATAGACAAAGAGTAATTTTTGAAAGCTCAAAGTAGTTAAGTTGGTTCTCATCTTCCTGCCCAATTTTGACTTTGCACCCCCCGTGTGTCTGATCAGTGTTGATACTAAAGAAAAACATTGCGTGAATTTGTATGTCCTTTTAGGAGGAAAAAAAATCTTCTCTATTGCCTTTGGCTGATATGAAAACAAAACAGCAGAAAATGCTATCCTGAAAACAGAATAGAGAGTTGCAATGTGAAGGAGGACAGCTTGAAAGCTGTGGGTGGCTATCAGACAAGACCTTGCAGTAGAAGTGCTCATAACCATGTTAACAATAATGTGAAGTATGGTGTGCTCAAAGTATAAAATTAAAATGGACATACTAGTAGTTCCAGTTGAAGGGGCAAGACTGAATTGTATTTATAGAAGAATAATCTTATATCCTATGCACTGAAAATCACCAGTGCGTCCTTTGGGTTTCAGGTGTGAATAAATACAGGATTTTAGCCTTTGGGTCTTTGAACTTAGCGTCCTTCTTATTCACTTAATACATTACAATGACAATAATGCAGTTGTACTTTTAAATGTAATCCCAAACGTAGTAGGATCTAGCTTTGAGCTGACTTCAAGCTCTTAGACCTCTTGGATGGTGTGTATATATAATTCGGAAGCGGTGCACGCGGTATCTCCATGGAGGGTGCCAACCTTGCTGTCTCAGTTGTTTTTCCTGCCATTTAGTGCAGGTGCCATCTTGGTATCTGTGTTGGAAGAAGTGTCTTGTCTACCCTTAATGCCTGATGGAAAGGGAGGGGAGGGTAAAAGGCAGACCTTGCTGGAAGTTGAGCATTACCAAATGTGCTCTGAAGCCGAGTGGCTCTCTTGTTCCCTGTGACCACTGCAAAGATGTTTTTGAAATAGGGAGATGTGATTAGCTTTCATGGGACAGCTACATAATAACTTTTATTAATTCCCATGTAGCATACAAACCTGTGTTCTGTTGATGTAATGCTTTTATTTCTCATTTCAGCTATGAAGCTGTACGCTCCAGCTTTCATTCTCCTGTGGAGTGCTGTCGGGATAGCGAGGGCTGCCAAAATTGTTGTTGTGCCGCCAATTATGTTTGAAAGCCATCTTTATATTTTCAAGACTCTGGCCTCAGCCTTGCATGACCAAGGTCACCAGACAGTGTTTCTCCTCTCTGAGGGCAGAGAGATTCCTCCATCTAATCACTACAGACTTCAGCGCTACCCAGGGATCTTTAACAGCAGCACCTCGGATGATTTTCTCCAGTCCAAGATGAGGAGCATCTTCTCTGGGAGACTGACAGCCCTCGAACTGTTCGATATCCTGGACCACTATTCCAAGAACTGTGACATGATGGTTGGCAACCGAAACCTCATGCATGCCCTGAAACAGGAAAAATTTGACCTGCTCCTGGTAGATCCCAATGAGATGTGTGGATTTGTTATAGCTCATCTTTTAGGGGTTAAATATGCCGTCTTCTCCACTGGCCTCTGGTATCCAGCAGAAGTGGGTGCTCCAGCTCCCCTGTCTTACGTTCCAGAATTTAACTCGCTGCTCACAGATCACATGAACCTATTTGAGAGGATTAAAAATACTGTTGTTTATCTTATTTCAAGATTTGGAGTCAGTTTTTTGGTTCTGCCAAAATATGAAAGGATAATGCAGAAATACAAGGTTCTGCCAGAACGGTCCATGTATGACTTGGTTCATGGATCCAGCCTGTGGATGCTTTGTACTGATGTAGCACTGGAGTTTCCAAGACCTACGCTACCCAATGTTGTTTATGTGGGAGGAATCCTAACCAAACCAGCCAGCCCACTGCCAGAAGTAAGGTTTGCTGAGCTTTACAGTAATTTCTGTGGTATCTGCTTGACCTCATATGACGAGTGGCAGTTTTTAAGCAGTGAATTTCAAATGGGATCTAGTGTCTTGTGTTGTTGCTTGGTGAAATGTACCCTTGAAGTCACTGGAAGTAGCTTGGGGTGGTGGTGAGGGGAACTGTTGGACACAAACTCATCGAAACGAGCCTTTATGTGGTCGCAGGAAGTATTTTGCTTTTGAGTAAGGCGCTTAATGGTACAGTAGAGGAAAAACAAGTGCACGCTACCTTGGAAATTACATCTGTAGCTTCTGACCAAGCGTGGGTTAAAATGGGAAGAAGGGAGAACGGATGAATACTGCTTATGCTTAAAGAAGCCTGCTGATAGGTTATACTATCTAATTTCATGGTATTAGTGGTTTTATGGAGAGTTTGCTTCCCTTGGTTTGATAGGTAAAAATGTCTTTAAAGCTAGGTGTGTATTTAAGCATGAAGAAACTGCATATAGGCCAGAAAATGGAGATGATGTGAGTTGACACAAATGGCACCACTACTGTACTTGGATATGAATTTTCACTCCACGCTTCCTGGCCATCAGGTGTTGAACTTCAGACTGAAATAGTGATAGTGACTGGATTGATTCCAGAAATTCTGGCTGCACAGATTAATGATTAAGTTAGATTACTTCAGCATACTGTGTGATCTTTGATACCGGATATCCAAAATGCCTCTGTTCAGCAGCGCAATGGTGAGTGACAGGCAAAACAAAATTTCACAGAAAACCATGTCATTTACATTTCTATTTATATATACATAAACAAATAGATCTTGAGTTGGAGATGATTATTAATGCATGATAAATAGGTAGGTAGACCTGCAGCGCTCCACAATTTGGTTCTAAAAATGCCTCATTCAGCCTTTGCTTTTGGAATGAAAACTGCCAGGCCCACTTTTCACTTGTTTTAGCCTGAAAATTGGTCGTGGAAGGCTGGAGTTTTTTTAGGTTTGTGGTTTTCTTTATTCTTTGTACTGTTGGTAGTGTTTTGACTTAGCAGTACCTTTTTTCACCAACTCAGAAAACGTGAGAATTCTCTGATTTGGGCTGCAGGATGTGGAGCACCGAGCCGATTCCCTCATCTTTTTTTCCTGCCCAGTTCAACTTTTAAATGCATCTGAGCTGAATGAAGGCAGGCACTTGCTTTGCACTCTGAACATGCTAGTGGTTATATCCCAACATATAGTGATGTCTGTTCTCCGAGGTGTCATCATAGGTGACCATAACAGTGCTGCTTCAAACTGGTTCTTCCTGTGTGTACATTGATGTGTTTGTGTTTAGAAAGTGTCAGGCTGTGCAGAGATCCTGAGAAAGCAGACTAAAGGTAGCCCTGTGCTCTCTAAACCAAGTTCAGCCCTGTTCCCTCCAGGAGGACCTTGCTGGCTGGATTGAGTTTCAGCTCTTCACTTTACAAATGGATATTTTCTTCTTCTGTAAGAAGAAAAATGTTTTGGCATGATAAACTTGGAGACTACATCAGCATTATCTATTTCTTGTCTCTGTAGATTGGTCTTTAGGGTAAAAAGTTAACTGTCCTCAAAAGCAGATACTTTCTTTGCTATAAAATGGAGTGGAAGAAAATGAAAGGAGCAGGTTTTTTTTTTCAGCATTGTGCTATAGGGATGTGTGTGTGTCTAGATAGAGATATGTATTTGTACACACATATATAAGTATATATATTTGGAGCCTTTTGAGAATATATTTTTGTGTGCTTTCTAAATTTACTCTGGTAATAGGTTAACATCTGTGTTTCAATATCTTAAGGTGCAAGAAAGTGGAATGTTAAGTAAAATGTTTAGTACAACTAGACTGACAGTGACCTTGAAATAGACCTGTAGGTAGAGTACATGCTGGCAATACTTACTGCAGGGGGGGGGGAAAAACCCCTGTAGTTATTTGTGAACTGAGACATTATTATCTCTTCAGTTTTATTGGGCAATTCATTCTTACAATGGTCTAAGCGCAGGATTTGATTGAATGAGAGAGAGACAGTGTGTTCATCTTTTATTGTAAAATTTGTCCATGCCTAACCTGTAACACATAATCCACTGTGGTATGTATTGTAGGTAAACTACTGGGTAGTTTGTACTGAACAGTTAGGTAACATTCGTAACTATTGCTTTATTCTGGTAGAATAAAATTGGATACTAGTGCTGCAACTGTTTTCAGCTATTGCTGCATCTCTAAGGCAGGAGCCTTTGCTAATTTATTTTCTTCAGCTTTTAGCCTGGTGCATTAAGGTAAGCCAGAAGCGCAAAAAAAAAAAGGGAAGAAGTAGTTTGTTTAACCAAATCAGAATACCTACACATAACTGAAAAGCTCTACTTTTCTGCTTATAAGTAATATCTTAAAGAAAAGGCAGAGAGTAATAATTCAACAGTCAAAGAGGAGACAAAGGTCAAGGCCTTTTAAACGGTTATGGGATGGCTGTTGTTTAAGTCCAGGGGATATGATTGCTCAGTCAGCACTGTGTGTTTTCCTTAAACTTTCTTTGAAGAAAAGTTAGAAAAACACAACATTTAAAGGTAGCACATATCAGGGGGTGCTGAATGTCTGTCATGGAATGCACTGGCGTGTGTGAGAGGAAACAAACCTGACTCTTGCTTTGCTCTGTCCCATCTATGTTAGTATTTAGGCTCAGGGCAATGGAAGGGTTTTGTAAGTCCCCCAGTCATTCCCACTTAGTGCATGCAGGTTCCCTTTGTAGAGTATTTTTGGTGCAGGTAAACTAGATTTTTGGAGGTGGTTAAGCTGGAAGCTTTATTTCACCTGCAAACCAAATGCTTGCTGGTGTCTGCTAGGAGACAGACATAAGGGTCTGTAGCAGTGCTTGGCATTTGGAGGGCTTTAAGTGATGCGCTTTGTGGCGGGGCGCTTGGATCGGGGACCACAATAGACGTAGCCAAAGTCAAGCCGCTGAAGCGTGCACAGCGTATATGCAGAGCCCTGCTGTGCTGGCACAGTGCTCAGGTAGGGGCAGGCTGCAGTCCCTGCAGGGACTGTGTCTTAGCCATGCATCTCGTATGTCACCTGTGAAGGGAACTGACCTTACCAGGGTGTATCCTTACTGCTGGGCACAGATCTGAAACCAGCAGTAGCTGATCGTGCAGTTAGCTCATGTGGTGGGCATGATTTTTAGCTGTTGCTGAGCTCTGTAGCAATTACAGCTGCAGTGTGCAGCACCCGGCTGTGGTACGCCAACTGCAAATGTGTCTTTGAGTTGCAGCCTGCGCAGGTGCTTCGGGAAGCCTTCGCCAGGCTCCAGTTCTCCTTTTTGCTCTCCCTCTAAGGTAGTGCCCCGGTGTTGGTCTGCGCTTGGCGCAGTGTCCCTCGGCATGGTTGCAGTGATCGGCATGCTGAGGAGCAGGAGCCAAGAGCTGGTGAGGAGAGCAGTGGGTCCTTTGGAGGTCACCCCTCTGCCTGGCTTCCTGCAGTGCCTTGCGGCATGGTGCGGGTAGCTGGGAGCTTTCTCCTCGGTATAGCAGGGTTAGTCTTGCCCTTTACAGAGATGTCAGTCAGTGGCTGAAATTCCTGATGATGGCATGTTTCCTCCCTTCTGCTCTTCTGATCCCTGCTGCAGGTGGATGGAGCTGAGCAGAGCTTGTGTCACTGTGTTTCATCATGGTGGAAGGGCTGATCATTGCTTCACAAAGCTCACCGTAGGCAGTAGACACTGCACAGTTAGAAATAGTCTTCTGTGGTAGCTAATGTGCGATTTCCACTGGTTAAAGTGCATGGATTTAGAAGGTTCTTGCATAAATAGTGTGCTCTGTAAAAGACTAGAGATGGTTAATGTGGCTGCACCCATTACCGATAAGTGAATAAAAATCTTTCATGCACATGGGAAAGAGTCCGGGGTTTGTAGAGTTAACTCCAAAAAGAGTGTACTTTGAATTCCATAGAGGACAGTGCGAGCAGAACTAGCCTTAAAAGATCAAAAGCTAGAGACAGACAGAATATCAAGTCTTTAAGGTCATTGCTGACTTAAACTATTAAGTGTGTGGTGTTACCTGGCATTATTTTCCAGATAACTGTCAGTGGCCATTAGGGAAGTAAAAGGCTCCTCTGCCTCCTCCTTATTACACTTCTCTGGAGGGATCTTGTGAAGCTGAATGAAGCTGGCTTTTAAAAGTACCATATGCTTTAAGAAACAATGGGGAAACCTCTGCTGTGGCATATCTATCTTGTGACTAGGTTGTTATGTAGTTAGGCATTAATCAGCCTGATAAGATATGTCCTTGAATCAGGGTAGAAACCTGATGGGTGCTCCAAGCAGCTGCCTTAGGAAATACCTGGGCCCTGGTGAGGAAGGGGCAGAGGGCACTCAAAATGAGCAGGCATCTTTGCTGCAAGAAAAGCAGCTGAGCAGTGTTTCCTTTCCATCAACTAGCTGATGATTTAGGTGCTTTGGGACATAGGTTGGATCCTGCAGTTTGGATACAGTTGTACTTGAGATAATCTGTTGGTATTCACGAAAAAAAATCCCAAACTAAAATGACGCATACCCTGTAGTTCGTAAATTGACCTGCTTTTTTTCATATCCGTACAGTTTATGAAGTTTCATAACTACCTCTGTATAACACTATGCTTTTTTCAATGCTGATCTTGACTTGGTACTTTGGACTGAATGCCATTTATGTTTGATAGGAAAAGAAACAAATGACAGTTCACTTCTTTAATTCCTGTGTACCTGAGTAAACTTAACTTATGCTACAAGGGAGGGTGTTACCGTTTCATAAGTAGAAGCTGTCCTTTTAGCCATAGCTGTCAACAAATATTAATTACAGTAACTTACTCCTCCCTGTAGATCTCTTATCTAATCTTGTTATTATATAGATCTAGATTTATGTAACAAATTGGTGGCTTTGAAATATCTTCACTAATTTTTTTTTTTCCTGAGGCTTGCTGACGGTTGTATATTTAGTAGGTGTGTGTTAGCTGATACTGGTATTT